CACATTCATATTCACAGTAAGTATCTGAATGTCCTACAACCTACACTGCTGTGCTAAGTAGAAAAATGGTGTGGTGCACAAACTTCACAGAGGCATCACCTCAAACACCACATGAGAAAGTCCAGTCACAAGAAACGATGAAGCTGTGCAGCCTGTATTTTTCAACAATACTCAGCTTTTACCCTAACTTGATTCGCCATTTCTGAACAAAAAACAAATACAGAGGTTACACAGAAGCAAGAGGCAATCCTCACTAGAAGATATTGATTTCTAATACATTTTTCAGGTACAAAATTCACTGGTCAAAGAAACAATGAAGTATCACAGCCTCATCTACTATACCACCAGGTTACATGACGTCTCTGGACCAAGGTAAACTTGAAAATTTTAAGATGACCAGAGGGAGTTCTTTCAAGAGGAAGCAGAGGAGATGCTCTTTGAAAACAACAGCAAGAAACAAACTCACATTTTATTGCTATCTCTGTTCAGAGAGAGGAGGCAAGATTGTTCAGAGTGGATGCACTAGAACAGCACCAGAGCTTTTGCTGCAAAGACATGGGTGGCAATAGGGCAGGCCACGCTGACATCCTGTAACACGGCAGACAGAGACCTGGAGTATCTCCTCCACTTCACTCTGATGCATCTGCCACCTCCATGCCCTGGGAAGGCCAAGACAGCTTCAGCAATTAAAAATTCATAAAACCACAGAAAACACAGCACTGATATTTAACCAGGTCAGTCATATCCCTGACACCGTGACACAAGACTGAGGCCTTTCAGCCCAAACCAGTAATCAGCTGACTGATCTACGCGGGGGTGGGAACACATCAGTGCAGCAGGGATGGGCACAAACCCCTTCCTTTCTTCATCTGAATTCTGGTGCACAGACTGAGTCAGCTGCAGCTGCCTGCCTACACCTGGAGACTCACAATTCCGCCTGCCGTCCAGAACCCGCTGCCTCTCAATCCTTCCTGGTACACCTGCATTTTTGGCATTTGGTCCTTATGCTCAATGGCCAAAATGCACTTTAAATACAGTAAATTTAAATTAAGTTTCATGCCTTGAAGTTAAACATAAAAAAAGCTGCAGGACAAACAACTGGCCTGTTCCATGATATGTTGTTTTTCCCAAATTAAACCACTGGCAGTACTTATATATAATGGCTGGTCAAATGCATGTTACCTCACAATGGAAAGTTGCTAGAAAAGGAGATGGAAAGCACTTACCTCTGGTGAAACAAGTTCATCCAGCAGTTCAAGTTTACGCTGAGACAGCAGCTTTGAAACAACAGAAAAGGCCTACCAAAAAAAAAGTATATACATGAACAAGTAGCGCTAGGTTGGCTTATTTTTCAGACTAATCCATCATTACGTGACAAGGTACCCAAATATTCCATGATTTAAGATTTCAATATCTGCAGAGGGTATCATCATGGAAATGTAAGCCCTATGACATTAAAAAAGTGATTTCATGAACAGATAAAATCATAAGGTTTCTTTTCAATCTCTTATTTAAAGCATCAAATCTTTTCATATTAGGTAAGGGAATGCATAGCTTACTAAAAACAAAAAAAGCATTGCAGTACTCTGTATGTTGTTTTTACTCTTTTGGTAATTCAAACAGTCTATGTCTTTCCCTGTAAAAATTTTGTTCTTCTGTCCTCTTTCCCAACTCATCTCCTGGTTTCAGTCAAAACTGAAGCTTCCATTTAGAAATTTCCTTTAGAAATCTGGTTTAGTGTCTAAACTTCAGGAAGCTCAACTCCCTTTTCCCCCCTCAGTTTTGCAGGTATATTTACATACGATAATGTCTCTACATATTCAAGCAGTGTACTTGTAAAAGACGGTGTGTTTAGGACTCTACAGCGAGTAAAAACAAACCAAAAAACCAGGACAAGATAAAACAGGTGGTTCTGCACACATGGCAAATAATTTGGTACAGGCTGTAAAGTTTTTTTCTCTCTTGAATTGATATTCATAATTTTAACAGCATGTGTTATTTTGAGCTCGGTTTTTTTGTTAAACGTAAATATAAAAACTGGAAGTTTCACAGCAGATAACTGTAATTTTTACATAACGAGCTTTGAGATCATTACCTCTGACACATTCTGTTGACAAAGCTTACTTGGTTCAAAATTTGGAGAAACAAACATATACACCAGCTCTGCGCCTCCCTAAGCTTTGTCGTTTCAGAAAAAGCTGCCTTAAAGTCTCTGTAATGTTTGCAAGCATCTTCCTTCATATTATTTTGGGGAATTGCTAAACCAGCTCAATTTAATTGTGGAATTTTGGAAAAAGACCCAAGAAATTCCTGAAGAAAAGCATATCTCAGCTTATATCACTCGCCCCCAAAATGTGGTGCTCGGAGCCAGCAGTGGGGAACTCCATGTATTTTACACTGGGGAGCACACAGGCACTACAACATGACATCACGAGAAATTTCATCACAGAAAGGGTTGTTAAACATTGGAATGGGCTGCCCAGGGAGGTGGTGGATTCACCGCCCCCGGGGGTGTTGAGGGAAAGACTGGACATGGCAGTCGGTGCCATGGTCTGGTTGACAAGGTTGTGATCGGTCACAGGTTGGATTCAACGTACAAGAGAGACACGGAGCTCCTGGAGTGGGTCCAGCAGGGAGGATGACTGGGGGACTGGAGCCTTTCTTACGAGGAAAGGCTGATGGAACTGGGCCTGTTCAGCCTCGAGAAGAGATGACTGAGAGGGAACCTCATTATTGTGTATAAATATCTAAAGGGGGGTGCCAAGAGGATGCCACCAGGCTCTTCTTGGTGGTGCCGAGCAACAGCAGAAGAGGCAACGGGCAGAAACTGACACCCAGAAGTTCCACCTGAACATGACGAAGAATTTCTTTACAGTGCAGGTGACCGAGCACTGGAACAGGCTCCTAAGAGAGGTTGTGGAGTCTCCCTCACTGGGAAGATTCAAGAACCGTCTGGACGCAATTCTGAGCAATGTGCTCTGGTATGACCCTGCAAGAGGAGGGAGATTGGACCAGATGATCCACTGTGGTCCCTTCCACTCTGACCCATTCTGTGATTCTGTGACGATCTCAGAGGTCTTTCCCAACCTCATGGATTCTGTGATTCCATGAAACTAAACGCGGGCACCGCCATCCCCCGGGGAGGCTCGGCGAGTCCTTTCCCCTCAGGCCGGCCGCTCTGCCCTCCCGGGGCCCCGCTCACCTGCTTGGCCCCCCGCGTGAATTCCTCGATGCTGAACTCCTGATCGAAGTAGAGGCGGATGAGCAGGTAGTAGAAGCGGGTGCGGAGCCAGGCGAAGGGGCTGGTGATCCTCACCACCACCACGCGCCGCTGCGGGCCCTCGGGGCCGGTCCCGGCGGTGCTGGCGAACCGGGCGCTGGGCCGGGCCGGGGGGAGCCGGGCGGGCCCCAGCAGGGCCGTGGCGGCGGGGGGTGGCGGCAGGAGCCGAGCGGGGCCCGCCAGTGCCCGCGCCAGCCAGCGGACACGGCCCGGGGCCGCGCAGCGCAGCGCCATCCTCGGCCTGCCCCGCCCCACGGAAACACAGCCCGCCGGTTCCGGCGCCGCGCGGGGCCCGCCCGAGACGAACGGCGGCTCCGGCCGCGCCGGGGCGGGGGCTGCGGCCACCCGGTCACCACGGGACACCTCCGGGGAGAGTGGGGGCGTCCCCTCCGCTCGGCACTAGCCAGGCCACGGCTGGAGTGCGGTGTCCAGTCCCGGGCTCCTCAGTACCTGTGAGAACCTATGGACTATGGTATTGTTTATTAAAGATTTATGTTAAAGCTAATGTAAAAGTCAAAGGATGTAAAACTGCTTATGTAAACTAAAACAGTGGCCGAATACCGCTTATGCAAGCAAAGATAACCCCCAGATGTTCAGGAACTAACAGAAATGTGACAAACAACCCCATATAAGGACATAGGAATAAGGGGTCAACTATGGGACAAGGGAGGAAGACTTCTTACTTCAGCCTTAACGACCACCGGGAGGCAGAGAACGACCCCCTAACAACAACTGAGCCATGCGCAGAATACCTCCACTATTTCACAAACCATGGAAGTGAAGATGTATAAAAAGGGAATTGTTTGAACTGCTCAGCACGGCAGTTGGCGGAGCGCAGACTCCCCTGCCGTCCAGCGCTGCATTTGCTCATATTCTACTTGCTATAATCAATAAATTTTAATCGAATTTTGATCCTTTGTGGTCTCAATTTATCACAGTACCAGAGGGACAAGAACATAATGGAGAGGGTCCAGCGCAGGCCACAAAGACGATGAGGGGTCTGGAGCATCTCTCATATGAGGAGAGAATGCGTGAGCTGGGCTTGTTTAGTCTAAAGACTGAGAGGGGATTCATTAATGCATATAAATTTCTCAAAGGCGGGTGCCCAGAGGATAGTGCCCAGTGATGGGACAAGGAGCAATGGACATAAATACAAACTAATACACGAGAAGTTTCGCCTCAACATGAGGAAGAACTTCCTTATGCTGAGGGAGGCAGAGAACTGGGACAGGCTGCCCAGGGAGGTTGTGGAGTCTCCCTGTGTGGAGACATTCAAAACCCACCTGGAAGCGTTGCTGTGCCACCTGCTCCGGGTGACCCTGCCTTGGCAAGGGCGTTGGACTAAATGATCTCCAAAGGTCCCTTCCAACCCCGGCAGTCCTGTGATTCTGTGAACCGCGGGCTCCCATCCCTTGCCCGAAGGGAGAGACCGGGAACGCTCCTGCGCGGGCTCTGCTTTCCGGGGGAAGCGGAGGGACGGACGCAGGTCCCCCGGCGGCCGGGAGCGGCGGGAGCTGGAGGTTCTGGAGCTGGAGCGGCGGGATCAGCCGGCCGTGGAGCGGCGGGAGCTGGAGCGGAGGGATCAGCCGGCCATGGAGCGGCGGGAGCAGCTGTCGATGGAGCTGGAGCGGCTGGACGGGGTGACGCGGGAGCGGTTCCTGCGGGACATCTACCCGCGGGTACGGAACGGGGTGGGGCTGCCCGGGGACACCGGGCAAGGCAGGAGCTGTCCGGTGACTCCCTACGGGCACAGCTGGTGCAGGCAAACCGCAGGGTTTGGGTTTCTGTGCTCCCGGAGAGGTGCCGTGATCCAGCGAGTTGAGTGGGAGCTTAGGAGCAAGGAGCTTCTTTAGGCAAATCCTGTTGGAGCTGCTGGCAAGCTCCGACGGCTAATAGCTGTGAGTCCTTTTCCTTTGGCAGTGGTTAAAAAAAGTGTGATCGCTGGTTTTGTTGCGTTGTCATCTCTGTTCCATTTTCTTCCCCTCCCGAGGTCCCAATTCAAAGCAAAAGTGTCTTTCTGCTAATTTTTTTGTGTGTGCCCCTGATCAAACCTGTTCGTGGTTGTCAGCAGCAAGGAACCTGTATAGAGGTGTCAAGAGCTTGTCTCATGAGAACACAGAGCACCACCACAACTCACAGTCAGTCTGCACCTTAACTCTGTGGTCTTTTGCAACTTTTTTGCTAAGCTCTGGCTAAAATGATTAAATCTGTTTCTTAGTCTGGCTAGATTCCTCATTGACCCCAGCACAAAGTGCAGGTTAAAATTGTCCTTACCCCACTAGGAAAAAGGATTTAACTAAGAGAGACACAGTCCTACTGCATCATTCTGATTCACATTGCTTGTGAACGGGTAAGTTGTGACTTTGAGTAGTGGGTCCTGGCATTCAACTGACTTGTTTGCATGGATGTAACTTTAAAAATTAATTCTGAATTTTTTCCACTGGATGCTATGATCGTTTCACCATTGACATTTCTTTTTGTTTTGTTCCTTAGAGAAAGCCAGTGGTTCTCACAGGAATGGAACTGGGCCCTTGCACAACCAAATGGACAGTAGATTACTTGAGCCAAGCTGAAGGATCTAAAGAAGTAAAGATTCATGTTTCCACAGTGCCACAGATGGATTTCCTCAGTAAGAACTTTGTGTATAGGTACTTCACTCCAAGGCCTCTTTTATTTTAAAGCCATGTGCTTGTAACTTGCAGACATACAGTCCATCTGCTTGAAGCTGAGGGTGAGAATATGAAGACAGCGAAAACATTAAATTAGGTATCAAAGTGTTGTCCTTGATTTCTCCCTCTTTTATTCATTCTACAAATATCTTTATGCCCTGAATTTAACACTATGAGGGTGAAATGAGGGGCCAAACAGCACCTTAAGAGATGTCATGGAGAACTGTTATGAAGGTATTTTGACAGAGCACTTCTCTAAGAAACTGGAGCCCGGCATTCACTGCCATTAAGGAAAAAAGAAAACCAAGACACCCTTGATACTGGATGATATACTATTTTGTTCTACTTAGATGGTCTGTTTTCAGTGTTACTGAATAGGGGTAGTTTCTGCCTCACCATGCACCTGAACCTGTGTGAATGCTGGTGTGTGGCAGGCCGGGTATTCCACTCAAGGAGCGGTGTAATTAAAACCAAGCTCCTTTCAAAGTTAGGATTTGCAGTTCGCAGAATGCTGGAACTACTGGATACCACATGTTTCACTAGCTCTTTAATCTTGATGCAGGTCATGAAAAACCTTGCTCTCCTCTGAAGTTCCTCTTGTTTTCCAATGGCAAATGCCTTGATTTTAGCTGTAGTTTGTTTTCCCCAGGTGGGAACAGTATGTGTTCAGTCTGTTAAACTTTTAAGCAGGTGGAAGCGTACAGTGTGAGTGTAAACAAGCTACAAGTCTTTGAGTGGATCTTGCTGTTCAAGGGGGAAGAGCACACAACAATTATGGTACATTCTGTTCACTGCATAATGAACTTTTGAATCTTTGAGGTTAGGTTGTACTTGAATGACTTGGCCTTATCTCTGTATTTTATTTTCCCTGCTCTATTTTGTTTTGTTGGGATTTTTAAAATAATCTCTCTTACTGTGAGTTCACATTAAGTTGACCTGGTGTGCCAGTTTTAGCAGGTTTGTAGACAGCTATACGGAGTCTCTGATGGTGCTTCAGAATAGCAGGTGTCAGGACTTCCACCTACTTCCCTTGAAATTCAGGAAGCTTTAACCCTTTCCATAGCAAGACCAAGCCCCTCATTCTAATCTGAAGGGAGAATAAGTAGTACCAAAACAACAGAAACACTGAGGACTTAACATGCAGTTCCATGAGTTTAAACTGATGCATGTGAGTAGTACTGCAGTCCTGTTGTAAGTTGCATGCTCCTACCCCTGTCTTTGTGTTGGTTCTGGAACTCATTCAGCCAGGTCGTGATGTGCTGCAGAAGTCTGAATGTTTTTCTGCTGTTTTAGCTTTGCAAGCAGGTTCACTGTGAGGTCAGATGAGTGCCAGTGCTACTGTAGGGGAGGAGATGAGGTGATAAGGGTGGACAGCAAGGACAGAGCTATGGCAGCACCAGCATGCACCAGTTTAAGCTGTCATGGAGCTGTGCTCTCACTTTCTTCAGTAGCAAATGTAAATGGGCACGATACAACAGTCTAGCTGATGTCAGAGCATTGGTTCTTGTTTGTTTTTCCGTTGACTTTAGTGGTTGTATTTGCCTATTACAAACAAGCCTAAAGTGTTTAGAGAATTGGTCTAAATACTGTCTGATGCAGGTTCACATTCTGGTAGAAGGGATAACAGGATCAAGAAAAATTTTGCTGGAGGGTAGTTTCTTCTTAACCCTGGGTACTTGGAGGTTGTTCTGAAAAGTAATATTTATATTCAGTAATTTATTAGCCAGTGACACCTAATGTGAGATGCTGAGCTGAGTAAACATAACATTGAATTCATAACAGTGAACACATGTCCTATTACTGCTTGCGCTTGGTTTGCCATTCAGCTGTCAACTGATACCAAAATCTGTAATCTGTATGAAAAGCTCCCATTATCTAAATAAATATGTAACACTTGTACTGACCTCAGAGGGACCAGCTCTGACGCCCAGTGATTGCTTTTGAATCTTCTGAAGTTGAGTTCAGCAAAAGTTAAAGAAACTCTTGAAAATATACAGAATGCTGTGTTTTGCTTAGGTGGAGAAGCACATACTTCAGATAACTGAAATAAATTTTATAGATCTACAAATGAAGATAGTTATCTGTGTTCATGCACAAATTCATAGCAGAAAATGCATAGATATAAACATGTGTATGTTCCCTGCATTAGTTTTCTTGATGCTGAACTTTTCTGCAAGTTTATGAAAACGTACAGTAAACAAGCCTAAAAATTACACACTTACAGAAATAGTCTAAATAAGTATTGCCAGGCTTTGGCCACAGTTTGAGTCTCAATTTGACCGGGAAGAAATTTGTGCTGGGACTCAAACGATTCAGAACTCCTAAGCTCAAGAGGGGATCTTACCAAATTGTTTAAATTGTTGAGGGAGGGAGTAAAAACGGAGCTCTGTTCTTCTGGTTCATGGTGACAGGACAAGAGGCAATGGGCACAAGCTGAAATACAGCAAATTCTGTTAATCTGTTGAACACTTCCCCCATCTTTTACTGCAAGGGTGGTCAAACAATGGAACAAATGAAGCAGGTTGCCTAGAGAGGTTATGGAAGGTCCATCCTTTGAGATACACAAAACCACACTGGATGCTGTCCTGGGCAAGCTGCTATAGTTGATCCTGTTTTGGCAAGGGGGTTGGACTGGAGGATCTCCAGAGGTGCCTTCCAGCCTCAGCAATTACAGGATTCTGTTTGGATATTTACAATTTACTGAAGTGGAGGAGTTTCTAAGTGTGGGATTTCTATCTCAATAGAACTCTTCAAATATCTGCTGCAAGCACTGATCAGTCACCATATTAAGTTAAAAAAGTAAAAGAGCAGCATATTCCATCTTTTATCTTACTTTATATGGTCTTAATGGTAAATGAAGCTTATTATAAACCAAGAATTTAGACCGTGAGTTGTTACATTGATTCATGGTATAAATTTAAATATTTATATTTCAGAACTCTGCCTTTTGATGTATTTGTACGAAGAGCAGCTGAAGTCAACCACCAGGAGTACTTTCTTTCTCAGGTATTTTCTTTGGTGTCACAGTTTCTTCTGTCAGTTATTTTGCTGGTATATGGAAAGGAAAATGATGAATTGTAATTTAAATGTTTACTTCAGGAAACCGCTTGATCTTAGATGTAACTTTTTTGCTGCTTGGTGCCAGGGGAAAAAAATGTGAGCAGTTTTTCTCAGAAGTTGTTTTGTATGTGCATGGTGTGGTTAACTTCAGCCAGCCAGTTTTTGTTAACAAAAGCTGTGTACATGAGTAAAAATTCCAGTGTAAAATTTAGAAATCAAACCTTGTTTTAAAATAACAACTGTATCATTTGCGTGTTTCACAAGAAAATGTCATGAAGGTATTTTAGAATTTGATTACATCTGCTATCAAAATACAAATCCAGATTTATTGTGACATGATTTGTGAGTAGCAAATGTGTGGCTATCTTTACATATCAGTGTTCAGGCTAGGGATTTTTCAGGTAGCTGTGATTAGGAAGCAAACAGTTTTGAATGTAGACATGCTTTTAACCTTCTGTGCTACATAGAATGCTGTAAGTTTTGAAGCCAACTAAAATAGCTGCCTGCATCAGTGTTCTGAGGAACTTAAATTACAATCTGCATTTGCTTTGAGGCTGTTCAGTAACAGCGATGCTGAAGCAGTTGACAAGTCTCCTCCCTTTTATTCTTCTGCTCTCAGTTAACATATTTTCCCATTTCTTGAGATGAACAGCAGGGATCACTAGAGTAAAGGCAGTATAACAGCAGCTGAATTTGTAGATGCCATTTATTTGTACCATATTTTAATGAAGCTCTGCATTAATGAGAAAATACAGGCTCTTTGTTTAAGTGTTTGCATTTCTTACTAAGAAAACCAAAACAATTCTCTTTTTGTGTTCTCATCAGGATGAAAAGTACTATTTGCGATCAGTGGGTGAAGATGCTCGGAAGGTGAGTTATTTGAGAGTACAGTTCCTATATTGTAAAGTTGCAGTTTAGGAATATTTTTTAAAAGCCCATTGTCATCTGCTGGGTGTGTAACACAGACAAACAACTTGCTTAGGGTCACTTGTGAACCTGACTGGATTAGGTCAGAATATTTCAATCTAAGTGTCTAAACTAGTTGCTGTTATATGAGAGCTTAGCTGATCACTGAAGAGTACATGGCTAACCTCCCTTTCTTTAGCTTTTGTTGTAAACTAATATAAAAGGATTTCTGCTGATCTCTTGCTTCTTCAGTGTGATTTTCAGCAGTTCAAAGCAGCTCTCTGGCTGTTCTTGTTAGTGTCATTGAGCAAGTCACTGCTGAAGAGCATTGCTATGTTCAGGTGTTCACCAACGCTGAGGTTCCAGTCCCATGTTCATATGATGGGAAAAGATAGTGAAGTGCTCCCTCATTTAAATGTGCATGCGCCATTCTCGAAGAGTTATGTCCTTTCTGTTTCAGGATATTGCAGATATCAGGAAGCAGTTTCCTGTTTTGGCAAAAGACATTCAAATTCCAGAATATTTTGAGAAAGAGCAGTTCTTCTCTAGTGTCTTCCGCATCAGCTCAGCTGGATTACAGTTATGGACACACTATGATGTAGGTAATACATGAATTTAGCATAAAATATTGCAGATGCCATTACAGAGTTGAGATAATAACATGCAAATCTCTGGCAAAGATCAGAGATCATAACAAACTTCACATATTTTGAAATAGTGAAATGAATCACATTCAGTGGTACAGCGAATTTAAATAGATGTATTGTGTGGGCATAATATCTTAACTGGGTTTATGTCTAATTCCATATTTGTGAGATTAAATGACGTTTTATTGTGTTCTTTTTTTGGTTTAACTGCTTTTGAGTTTCAGTTAAAAATCTGAAACACAGTAACTTTCAACATTTTTGTCTTCAACATTACAGTCATTTATTTTTTATTCTAATGGCCATATTAGAATAAAATCCAATTGTACAACACATTGCCAATTGTACAGTGATTGTAGTGATTTGTGGCTGCAATGTGATAGATTCTAAATAGGATTTTCTTATAACATTGTGCAGTGAATTCTGAATAAATTTATTTATAAGAAAAATAGTTTTTGCCTTATAATTAGGAAAAAGGATCCTTATCAGTAGAAAGTCAGTCAAAAAATTTTTCTCTGAAAGAGAAAAATAATCCAAAATATATTTTGTATTTTATTTTAGTGGTTCATGTGTCTAAAGTATGGTATGTCTTTGTGTTTTAAGATGGAAGAACTTGATTCTTGATTTCAGAAAAAAACACAAGATAGTTGGAAAGCAATACTGTGTATCCAGACATTATTTGTCAAGAATGTGCAGCTAAGGGGATAAATCTTAAGTTTTTTCAATGAACTGTATGTGGAAGCTCTTGTAGCTAATTCTTAGGGGAATTCCCTTCTAACGGGAAGGTTTTAATAATTCCCTCTTTTAAGCTATTAATTAGTTTAAACCTATATATTCACTTCCAACTTTTGGCTGACACCTCTCTCATGATGCTTATTCCAGGTAATGGATAACTTCTTAATCCAAGTCACAGGAAAAAAACGAGTTGTTTTGTACAGTCCTCGAGATGCACCGTATTTATATTTATCAGGTATGCATGTCATAGGTATCTAGGTCAGTGTTTGGTGATCTCAGTTGCCTTTTGGCTCACAGGTAGAAAATAATCACTATATTGCACTGTAGAAAATAATCACTAACATAGGACTTGATATAAAAAAAGTAATTTATTCCCTTACCTCTAATCCTGTTGGCGTTAGTCAACACTGAGAACAGCAGCTTTGCCTGATTGTTTTCAGCAGCTAACTGGAGGAGTACTGTGTTCTGTCTGGGCCCAAAATGGTGTTTTAAATGTCAGGAGAAGTGTTTTTTAATTTTAATAAGGTTGCAGTTACAGGACAAATGTAGACAACACTGCCATCAGGTTGCTCTGTTTTTTAGAAGACTTACACAACAATAAATCAGTATTAAATTTAATTCAAGAACTGCCATTTCCAGCAATCTGATAATGCTTTGTTACTATTGGAAGAGTAGGAATATTTATTCACTGAAAACTTTCCTAGGTACTAAATCAGAGGTGCTGGATGTGGACAACCCAGACATGGAAAAATATCCCCTTTTTTTGAAAGCCAAGCGCTATCAATGTTTTCTGGAAGCGGGAGATGTGTTATTTATTCCAGGTAAGTAACAAATGGTTCCTGAATTGGCATGTTGTTAAACAGTCTCGTTTCTAATTTTTCATTTCTAGAGATGGTAAGAGGTTACTAAAGCATGTTATAAGTGTTCTGTGAAAAGTGTTGGCAAAACTTGTCTACTTCCCACTGTACAATTACTCTGATTAAAGCTATTATTATACCTACCTACAAATCTTACTGTCCTTCAAGTTTAAGCTCTGTATTTCTGAATTTGTGTCTTAGTAGATTAATACAATAAACTCACCTTGTGAAATCTGAAATTACTTCAGTGACCTGAGTTTCTCCATTGTCAAGATTTAAGTAAAGTATCATTTCTGTTCTTCTGTAGCTCTGGCACTTCAGCCACCGTGAAGTGTGTGATCTAGTGAGAATTACGGATGGTAGAGATACTGGACCTTCTAGAAATTTCTAATCCTCTCTGGGGAATGGAAACACAAGTCCTTATCATTTTCTGCACAAGCAGAAAACATAAAGCTGCTTCCTGGGCTGAGATGATAAATTCTGGTAATCAGGGAAAGGCATTTGAATTATTCCTATTGAACTACTACTCTTACTTGTTTCTGATTTCATTGAAACTCTTCGTGAGCTTGTGGCAGATACTTACTCTGTTGCTTTTATAGTATCTGGGCAATATAAACAGGTCAGTAAAGAAAAAGGCAGTAGGTTTTTGGGAAGTTATTTTAAAATAGTTTCTTAGCCTTGGACTTGTACTTAGTTTTGACCTTACCATTTGTTTCTCTTCCTAAAGAAACTTTTGGTTCCACTTAGATAACGGTGTGTCACATTGTTGCTGTGTTAGCAGGTTAGGAAGGGGGGCTGCTCATAACTTCTCCATAATAACCACACACGTTTCTTAAAAACCATCTTTTTTCAGTGATATGCATTTCAGGTTGCTGACAACACCTTCATCCCACACATGCTTATTATTTGCTTACCTTTGAGTATCTCTATACTTCAGCAATTGTTGATTTCAGCTGAAGTTATGGATTGACGTAAACATCTTGAAGAACTTCTTAAATTTGGTACAATGCAATATATTCAGGAATGAATATTTAAAAATAAACAAAAAATATGGTACTTGAGGCTCTTCCCCAACTAGATTTAGTTTGGGCAATTATGGTTCTTGTTATGAGTCGCATGGAAATTTTGGATAGTAATTTTTATTTTAGACATTCTTCTTTCCGCAGCTTTGTGGTTCCACAATGTAATTTCTGAGGAATTTGGAGTGGCACTGAATGTCTTTTGGAAGCACCTTCCTGCTGAATCCTATGATAAGACAGACACTTACGGAAATAAAGATCCCATGGCAGCCTCTAGAGCTATACAGATCTTGGACAGGGCCTTGAAAACACTTGAAGAACTACCTGAGGAATACAGGGATTTTTACGCTCGGAGAATGGTGTTACGCATCCAAGAGAAAGCCTATAGGAATGATTACGGATGAAATAACACACTGTAATTCAGCAAGCTTTTGTGCAAGTAGAAAATTGTATGTCAATATGGAAACAGTCTGTGTGTACATACATTTTGAGACCAATAAAAACTGTTGGTAAATATTCATCTAAAACAAAGTTGATCTTGTAACTTTTTTTTCTTGTTTTTTTTTCATGTGTAGTGAGTACAGAGTTTGCTTGATCTGACAGTGGTCTGTTTTCTACACTGAGATACAATGTGGTGCAGTGCCTGCATTTATAACTGTACTGTTTGGGAATGTTGTACTTAAATTTTTCTGAACCAAAGTTCTGGTGTCTGGGCTGACAGCGTGTATGCTTACAACTAACTGCATGTCTTTTTGAGTGTGACCTCATTAAAGTTTAGGAAAGCCATAGCGGTTTCTGAGCAGATCCAGGAAAGCCATTGTCGGTGGCTGTAATGGTCAAGGTTTGTTTTTGAGTAATAACCGGAGAATAAGTGCAGGGGAGTTTCTTCTCCCCCTCGCAGTGAGACTCACAGTGGGTATGGGAAAAAAAGTGCAAAAGCTAATCATGCCATTTAAGCTTAGAATTGTGCAACAGCTTGACTGCAAAGTAAATGACTTACCCATTACCTGCATAATGTTTTGTGGAGAAAACCTTGTTTGTCACTGCCCCAGTGCAGTCAGGCAGCATTGCTGTTTCTGCAGCTGTGAAACACTGCAACTAATGTGCCCATAAATCCATTCAGCTCCAGTCCTAGAAAATGCAATGAAGTTCATAGTTCTGGAGTAGACAGAGAATCTGTATTTGAGGTGCTCTTTGTTACCATATGAGAGGGGGCATTGCATCTTTTGGGATGGAGCCTGTTGTTTAGGCACTGTAGGTTACTTTTCCAGATTGCAGTGCTTACAAAAGCCTTGTAAAATAAAGGTAGGGATCTCACAAGAAGGATGGGTTTGTCATTGTCCTTTTCAAATCCCTCTAATATTATTACTTGTGCTATTTGGGGAATGCAGCATTTCTGTGACTTAGTCTGTTACTTCTAGCAATGTTTTTTGAGAACTAAAACTTGTCAAGAGCCCTTAGACTAAATAGATATGTAGTGTTAATAAAGTGCTGGAAAAAACAAGCTTTCTCCAGAAGAGCAGGAGCTTGAACACTGTGCAGATTATTCTTCTAAACCTGTTCTTCTTGGCAATTCAACACAGTGAAAATAGTCTGGTACCATGTGAATGGGCACCCGGCCACCTCAATGAATAAGCATGAATGGAACCAGCCAAGCGATTCTGATGGGCATCATTGTACGTTCTGAGGGTAGAATTTAAATTTGGGATCACAAATAGGTCTCCCCAAATTTTTGTTCAAAAAGGAACAAGGATTGCTTGTGCACGCTGCTGAGACAGACTGTTAGGCTGGGGTAACCTCTTGGCTTTGTCAGACCGGTAATGTCGAGGGCCCCATCTGAATTGCAGAGGTGAACAGAGCATATTCTTTGTGTGTCAGGACTAAATGGAGAGGCTCAGAGAGCCTGCAGGGCTAGACAAAGCTGTGTTCCAGCATTGTGCCTGCACAGCCATCTCTTTTAACTGTAACTGCCTCAATGTACTGGTACAGAGAAGTCCTGTGCTGATCCTGCATTCTGCCATTTCTTGATTCTCCAGTCAAAAAAGGGACATGATAGCCTGGTGTTCTCAGGCCCCCTCAACACTCAGTAGTGAATAAGGAAAGCTTTGTGGAGCAGCAAGTGGTGTATAAGCGACCTTCTGCTGCCTCTCTTGTGGGAAGTGCCTGCTGTGCTTCAGAGAGAGGGTAGGAGGGCTTGGGGCTCTTGGGGACAGGGGAAAGCCTCCTAATGGTGATATCAAGATTTTCATTAATACTGGTTTCATAAGATCTGTCAAGCCACAAGTATTCACAATGCTATTTTGAATATTTTTCAATCCCCTTTTAATTTTGTAAGGGAAGCTATTAAATTATTAGTCTAAACACCTTAGGCCAAATTAAACCCTTGCATCCCTCAGCTGAAGTAGTTAGTGCTGAGGTAACCCCGCACAAAAGCTCCAACAGTTCACTTGTTTAGGCTAGTATGAAGTCTGGATTGGAAAGTGTATATCTGGCTGAGAAGAGAGGGTCAAGTTGAATTAAATGTGAGCCAGTGCTATAGCAAGTGCAGCTATTCACCTTCATGCTACCAAGTTTAAAATGAAGCCTTTATTTCACTTGGAAAGAGCTTCTTAAATTTCTAATTTAGTAATTTCTATAAAACAGTTGTTCTGAAATGCTATAAAAGGAGAAAACAAGCAGCTTAAAAATGTGTGTTCTTAATTTGAGCATAATGTGACTAGTGATAAAAATCTGCAAGTCACTGTGTTAAAAAAAATGAAATTATTTGGTGCTTTCTAATCACTGTGCTACATTGTGTGAAACAGGCAATAAAATGATGAATGAATGGTGAAAGCATTAAAGGAATAACTTCCAGCAAACATAGTGAAAGAATATAAGTAGCCATATTTGCAAATCCACTACTGAAATAACAAAGAATTAGAGCCACTGACATTTTGTGCAAGTTTGTCCTTTAGAGACGTAAACCAAAATGGGATCATGCCACAATAAAACAGATGAAGTTGTGGTAACAGGTATTAGAAAATAAACACCGACCTTGTTAAGCATTCAGAGCAGCCACTTCAGCTGTCTTCTGTCCTCAGCAGAGGAGCTGGGTGATGCAGACTGCCCAGGACTGAAAGATAAGTGAAAACACTTACATAAAGACAGTGTCTGAAATCAGCAGTTTAAACTTGGCCTATATATCCCAAACTTTGAATTACTCTAAAAATTTGGTGAGTGAGACCTTCAAAATGGAAGTTTATTACAAGTCAAGACCTGGAGAGAATTATTTATTCTTGACCATATGAAATATAAAGGACAATAAATGTTTCAGATTTCATTTTTCTTAACATGCTTGTTGTGGAAAGAACTAAATGAAAAAAAAATTATGTCAAAACATTTTTTTTTTGTCAAACTATTAAACAGATCATTAAAAATCTGCCTGTCATGTATGTGCTGACAATTTGATGTACCCAACTTAAGAACTTCTCTCCAGGAGCTACACAGCGTCTAGGTTCTTAATACAAGCGTCAAGTTAAATTCCTCATGTGAAAGGGTTTGCAATTCTTTTTAAACACAGAACTATTTGCCTCATTCATGCTGTTGGTCCCACAACAGGACTAACTTGACTAAGATGAGGATGATTTTACCATAGTAGAGGTTTAATTACATATGATGTGATCCCAATATATATTACTTCCCAGCTTCAGGGAAATTCCTGTACAGATCGCTTCTTTTTTTCCTCTGACCAAAATTTATCTTACCAAACCTGATGTTTTCATGTAGATGATACAGGTGTTGAAGATACATGTTCTGAGACAGTAACTTTTACAAGGGATGCTCTGTAGACTGGTATCACTCAATAACCACAGATTCTGCTGTTACTGGAAGGACAGATGAAACGTTACATTTTTTAAACAGTTACCTAAGTCTGCAGTAAAGTTGCATGTTAAGATTTCCTGTTTTACTTTGGGTCAGACTGTAGGAGTGGGGATAGATTCTGAGTTCTGTATGTGGCAATTCCTGAAATCAGGAGCAGATTACTTTCTTTCCAATTGTTCAGATCTGTTCCTAGTCAACACTTTTAAGAGCAGACTGAAAACATTAAAAGAACTGCTCAACCATGGAAAACACGCAGCTCCACGTGCGATGCCACGTTCATACAAAAATGCTCTGAAGCTACTGCTTGCAATAATAACACAGATCATAGCAATGGACAATTTTTGCTGTGACAGCATTTGTACTTCAGCTGTCAAGCAGTACATCAATTGCTTTAAACTTCCATCACAAAAAAATCAATGCATTTCTCATGACAGGGAATGGGAAAGAGCTAAGCACACAGTCTGTAAGGGATGCAACAGCTTTGTCTGACACGCAGGCTTAGGAGTACTGCTCAGAGGGTGAAGAAAGGTTAAAGAGCTTTATTCTACCCCTCAGCACCGATGTGTCTCTCGACTGCTTTCTGTGTCTTGCAGCCGTGCTTTCCTTGGAAACAACTCAGCTCTGAAGTGCCAGGTTTAACAAAGGAAACTAACAGTCATGACTGAAAGTGCTCTCTTGAGAGCTTACTAAAAGGAAGTAATAGCAATCTGTTCCTTTTCAAGTATATAAGACGTTTATGCATATGAATTAAAAACAGATAATTTTTTTTTCCACCAAATACTTTTCTGGTCATTTGCTTAAGTAGAATTTGACGCTTCTTTGGTTCACACTGCTTTATAGCCCACACTACACTAAATGCAAAATGACTGCCTGGATCAGTCCTCCATGATTTCCACTGTAATGTGGAACAGCTAATCCCATGCAAGTGTTTTTTGACAGCAGGAGGAGAGAATTATGCTGTTAATACCGATAGGATGAATTTAGTCAGGAACAGTATGTCTGGCACTGGAAGAAGCAGAGCCTGTCTGTGTTATATGATCCTGTATTACTGGTTTAATGACTTCATGTTACTTTATTCAAGTTAAAAAACAGTCACCCTGTATCTGAACAGAGTTAAGAGATCAATAACACCAACAGAAAACCAGCTTTGGTCTTAGAATCTCCACCTGCAATATTCAAATGTGTCTAAATTTTCATGAGGTTATGACCATCAGAAGTAATTTCTTTTTTTTTTTTTTTTTTTTAGTTTAATCTACCACCCTTACAAAAATGAAATGAGACTTCAATATAAGATTAAAAAGATTGTGAAGAAGTAAGTTTGAAGGTGATTTAAAGAGGCTGTCTCTTATGGCTTGTAGTCTGAGACATCCATCTTTGCTTTTGTATTGCACAAGGACACATCCACGTTTGTGGATTTTGCCAGGCTGTGATGTACCTCAAATGTGGCTCACAACAGAGCACACACACAAACCAGAATTTTTAGTTTTTTAAATTCTTGTGTTAACTGATGTAATACACATGTAATTTAAAATAAGCATTCAAGTTAAATGAATGGGTAGATTTTAACCTCAGTGCTTCAACTTCCAGTCTGTTGAAAACAACACCTTATCTGTTGGGATGAAGTAAGTGTTAGCTTTGGAAGCACTGTAAGAGGGAAGAAAATACAGGTGATATTTCCTTCCTGCAAAATGCTCAAAAAGAACCTGTGGGAAAAATCTGACAACATATTCATGCACAATCACTTTTATCTGTGCATATTCACAGTTGTAACAGCCTAACTCTTGAACTGACTTAGCAGGCTTATTTAAAATAATTTCTGAGACTTTTTAAATACATAGCATTCCTGTTAGTTATCTCTATCAGCAATTAAGGTAATTTAGAAAGATAAAACAGCTTACCATAAAGTGCTTGTGCTAACATAAGGGAGGCAGCAGGATGTTATCAATGGAAGGACAGAGAAAATTGCTCCTTTCAGCCCCATGTTAAAGATTAGACCCTTAATCATCTTCCAGAATTATGGGCCAATACTGATTAATGCGTCAGCATTTACAGAGATGTGATTAAATCAGTCCTAGATAGGGAGAAAATTACCAAAGTTTCTAGCATTTTAGATGCACACAAAATCATTTAAGTCATCCAGACAATTTCATGGAATCAAGCCTTGCTTTAAAGGAATTTACCAGGCACGGTTTAAAACATGTTAGCGTTTCTCAAAATACGAAGAATGCCTTGTCTGTTGTACAAGAAACAAGCATGTAATGTAAAGAACACCAGTCATTACTAGGTTGAACTAAGGACTGTGAAACATTGCTCACTCCATTCAAAACCACGAGTGTCTTGAATTAAACCATTATAAGAACCACTTAACTTTAGGCATCTACATCTAAGCTTATTTGAATCTGCCTGTATAGTTAACATAGAAAACCAGGCACATACAAACCCATTTCATTCTAACCCAGAAATGTTCACACCCTTGTGTGCTTCATGCCAGCTTTCCCATGCATGTGAGATGCCAGTAAGCTGTTTTGGAATTACTGCACAAATATAAAGCTTCCTTGAAGAAAAGCTATCGAATCTGATTTTTTTAAACTAGGTCGCCACAAGCATTTGATAAAGCTTGATCCACAAAACTTAACTGCACATTCCTTATTTAATGGTTTTACGTTCACATCAAAGTGGTTTCACCCATTAGAAAGTTTCTTTTCTACATTGTTTGCAAAATTTATTTTTAGCATGCATTGTAATGAATGACAGAGGCACATTCCAACAGAGTACTACAACTGTTTAAAGAATGAAAAACAACCAGTCAGTTTTCCCTCCACGACATGAGGTCTCATAACAAGATTAGTTTTACAACAAAGTGCTTATTCTTCAAAGTAATGCAGCAACACTTGAGCCTATTTAAGAGTTATTGTAGGCAGCCTCCATCAAATAGGTTAGTAGTATTTTCATAGGACAGGCATCCAGAAACTTTTGAAGACAATGTCAATATTTTAATAGCTGTTTCCAAAAGCATGCAAGTTCCGTTGTTTTGGCAGGCACAGAATTGTTTAAAAATTGATCTCTGATCCGCACTGTTACTGGATAGGGCAAGTATTAGTGCTAGCTTGGTCAGTCTGAAACTGAGAGGGAGCAAAAGGAGTAGAGTGTTTGGGGGTTTTTGTTGGTTTATTTTTTAAAATTTTCTTTTATAAGTGGATAGCTAATATATTTCAGGACATTTGTAGGCTTTCTATTAAAACCACTTCTTTAGGTGACTCATATTTTTTTTTTACAGAAAAAAGTCCTCACATATGCTGCATTATCAAAAGGACCAAAAAAGGGAAATAATGTTCCTTGAAACACACAAACTAGTTGTTATAAGCCTATTAAGATGGTAATCAACAAATAGGGTTGAATAATATCTCTGAGAAAGAGTCTAAAATTAAAAAAAAGCTAATGGAACTAGATTTCAGAGTCTTTTATACAGTGTTAAGAGTTGGTTTGCATGTTGCACTTTTCTCCATCAATTAAAATAATTTCCCTTTTTGATCAACTACGTACATTATTGTTAGCAATAGAGTTCACTTTCAAATTGTAAGGTGTACACATAATCCTTTCTACCACCCTTAATATTTTGAGTATTAAGAAAATTTTCTTAGGAGTTCAACACACTTTTCTCGTTGTTCAGTAATCACTGATATGCATAACCTCTGCCAAGAGCTGGCTACAGTGAACCCTGTAACTTTTAATGATGCCACCATAAGAAAGATGACCCAGGACTTTCCTCCCACAGTGTAAGAATCAAGGGAAACAAGCAGCAGGGCAAAGATGTCACTAAGCCATCAAACATAGGACCAAAGTTGAATAAAATGCCTTTTTCAGAACTTAGCCACAATTGTTTGTGTAATCTTCACAGCGTTTTGCTAACTTGCTTTTGTATTCCTATACTTCCAGGAAATCCAAAACCACTTGCAGCTACTGGTTTATTGTTAATAACTGCAGTTGTCTTTAAGAATTATTTTAAGCTTTGTAGATAAAAGGAAAGTTACCTACGACAATAGAAAAGTTCCACTAATATGATAACTGTCCATCTGTCAGTATTTCTTTCTCAAGAACATTCAGGCTTGGGGCCTGAACCAGACTAGGCTCTAGAAGCAATTACTGCAATACATTTAAAGGAGATAATTGATTTTAAAACTGAGGCATTTTGGAAGAAGTCAACACAGTCTAAAATTTTTATGCAATTTGTACTTATGGCTCGATGTAGATCAACATCAATGCAGCAATTACCCAGAGAAACCTCAACACCCCAAGGCAGGGACAAGGACACCTCTTGACATGTTAATACAGATATTACTGCTGGTCCTTATAGAAGTTAGTCAAAGCAATAGCAGGGTATGTTGAAACAGGAATAAGCTACACGCTCATCAACATTCTTGGTTACTTAACATAGCTATGTCAAAATTTTCAAGCCCCCAGCTGAAACAGCTATTCACTGGCAGATCCTACACAATCAATTAATGAAACTTTTTAATGACAGAAATGGCAAGGCGCACATAAGGAAGAAAAATGCATTGGCACTATTATTGCAAAGGTGAATATTTGTAACTTGGTTTCAATTAGGAGAAATGTTACAAAACTGGAAGATTTACTTAACTAAATAAAACACTTTTCACCAAAATATTTAACTAAGGTTCTTCTAACAATCCACTTCCTCAAAACAAAAAAAAAAAACAACATACATCTGTTATTGACAAAGACCAATGCTTTTAGCCCTGGAAGCCACTAAACTGAAGTACCCAGACATCCAGTACTTGAAACTCCCTTTAAATGCACATTATATATACAGGACTAAAAAGTCTGCCAACAGTTTAAGAATAAACATTCACATTTCACAAAAAAACATGTATAGGATAGTTCTTCATAACACTTTCTTCCAGGAATCAAATTACATCTGTTATAGTGATGGCATCCCAATACTCCTTTGTAAGCTACTGAAATTTATATATAGTATTTATTAGCAACATGGAACTGATTCTGTATTCTCTTCAGAATGCATCTGCTCAAAGTTGAAAATCTAGATGATAACATTTACAGTGTTAAAAGTGCTTCTACAATGAATATACTCTTCTGATACACAGTCTCAGAATACTTCGTGAACCCTGAAATGGTTATCTAAGGAGGGAACGTCATCAGCAAAATGCAGCTGATCATTTATTTCCACACCAAATTCTCCAAGTATCTGTACAAATTTCTCATGCTCTCTTCCAATCCATGACCTCATTGTGTCAAACACTTGGTACGGTGTAACATGAGCATGAACTTCAATTCCTGTCTCTGCAAGTTCTTTCAGCATTTCAGGGTGAGTAACCCAAGTATTGCTTCCTCCCGAGTGACCACCATCCAACCAGTACATTGCTTTTATGTTTTTTAAGAAGGCATCCGTGTTCTTGTCTTTTTTAGCTTCCTTCAGCTCATAAAGCAGTTGGTTCAAAACCACACAACCTTTACTGAAGCCGATCAAAGTAAACGACGCTGCACCTACAGCAGACGGTATCATGAAGTTCACAGCAGAATTATTGGAGCATTCACAATCTCTCTCCCTTTCCGTGGATGAGCAGCCGTTCGTTGCAGGAACAGACTGCGGCTGTGATTTACAAGCAGCTATTTTTGCATCCTTGCTGACACCGTGCACACTTTTCTGGGACAGCAGAATATTCTGAGAGAGTCTGAATGCATTAACTAGCAAAGCATGGAGATGCTTGAAAGCTCCAAAGTCAGTGCTGTGCTCTGGTGCTCCGAACATGTTACTGGCCACAAAGTTGTCATAACAACTGAATTTGTGCAGGTGCATTCGAGAACACTTTATGACCCAAATAAAGCTATTGGGGAACCGGCGAGCAAGTATGGTAGCAACATTTTCAAAACTCCAGTGCTCCCACTGAAAGTTTTCTGGATGGCAAGACATGATGTCATGATAGTTCTGAAAAATTAAAAAGAAAAAAAAATAGAAAAGATGCATTAATTCTCTGTGAAAAGACTTCAGCTCCAATGTACTCATATTTTTAAGAAAGGACTGTAAGAGAGAAACATGCATTAGAGGTGCTCGCTTCCTAGGCTTGCAGGACAAGAAACACATTAAAGAAACTGATGCATGTAGATTTACTTATTCTGCTGTAATATTTTTACCATACTTTTTAATACCCCCCACAATTAATGCAATAAAAATTAGCACATGAATGTATTAATAATTCTCTTTGACTTCATGCTAAAAGAAGATCAAAGTATTATTCAACTTATTATGACACAGAAAACATAATTTTATTGTATTAACTCCATCTATAGAAATACCAATTATCTTATTTCAAATCAACAACAGACTTAAAACTTTGTAAGAAGTTTTCTATCTCTTATACAGAAAAAAAAAATCCCTCTCATTCAGCTGTAGGAAATTTTTATTGCTCTTGTTCACATCCATAAAGGGTATAGATGGAAAAAACTTACCCCCAAGTCATGAACGAACTTTATCTCTGAAGTCATAATGGCAAAGAATACTACTTCATTTATTTTATAAAGCAATAATGAAGCCATACCCAGAAATGGCAATCAGGCAGGGGTTCTTAGGCCATCCCAATCCTTAAAATAAAAAGTTCTGCATCTTTACCTTAAAGAAAAGGAAAGTCTTTTCCTTGGAAGAAAAAGCCACTGCTCCTGCTTTTGAGAACTATTAGTGACATTTGAGATTAGCTGGCTACGCAAAGTGACAGAGCATGTAATGTTACAGAGCTTGACCATGTGCTCAGGGACAGCACTTCAGGGTCTCTCAACTTCTTGCCCGCTCAGAGACCCCAGCTGCCTTCTCGGGACAGACTGAGAAACCATCAAATTTCTGAGCCTGTCACATTCCCACAGGATGGCGTCAGGGATGTCTGTACACCTGCATGGTGATGTGGTGTTTTGCCTGGTGAGGACAACTTGCCATCTTAGGGTTTCATCGTCTTGTCTCCACCGACACGCTTTCAGACACCGCCATCCCCACTACAGAAGTGCTGGAGCGTGTCCAGAGATGGGCAACAAGGCTGGTGAAGGGTCTGGGGCACAAGTGCTGTGAGGAGCGGCTGAAGGAGCTGGGGTTGTTTCGCCTGGAGGAGGCTCAGGGGGAGACCTTATCGCTCTCTGCAACTACCTGAAAGGAGGTTGTAGCCAGCTGGGGATCGGCCTCTTCTCCCAGGCAACAAGTGGCAGGACAAGAGGACAGAGTCTTAAGCTGCGGCAGGCGAGGTTCATGTTGGACATTGGGAAAAATTTCTTCACAGAAGGGGTGATTAGACATTGGAATGGGCTGCCCAGGGAGGTGGTGGAGTCATCGCCCCTCAAGGTGTTTAAGGAAAGACTGGACATGGCACTCAGTGCCATGGTCTACTTGACACGGTCGTGTTGGGCTGGACGCGATGATCTCAGAGGTCTTTTCCAACCTAGTTCATCCCGTGAAGACGACTCGGCTCCCCTGCCCTGCTGCTCCAGCCCAGGTTTCCGGAGGGCCCGTTCCCGCGCGCCGTGCCCGCCGGTGACGGGCAGCGAGATGCTCCCCGGGGCCGGAGCAGCCTGGCAATGCCCGCCCGCACAGCCCCCGCAGCGCCGCCGGCCCGCTCCCTCCCGCAGCCCCGCTGCCGTACCTGCACGTCCCCCGGGAAGTACACGACGTGGTGCTGCGGCAGCGGGGCCGGGCCGCGCGGGGCGGGCGGCGGCGGCAGCAGCAGTAGCTCGTTGGCGCGGTGCGGCTCCGCGCCCGGCACCTCGGGCAGCCGCAGCCACGGCGGGCTCAGCCGCGCCGCCGAGAGCCCCGCGCCACCACCACCACCGCCACCACCCGCAGGCCCCGCGGCGCAGGCAGCCGGCGCCCCGCAGAGGCTCATGGCGCGGCCCGGGCGGGGCGCGGCGGGGCCGGGGAGCCCCCTCAGCAGCGCGGCGGCGGCGGCGGGAACAGGGAACCGCCGGCTCATGGCACTGCCCGCCCCGCCACCGCCCGCCCCGCCACCGCGCCTGCGCAACTCCCGCAACCCCGCCCGCAGAGCCCTCGGCAGGGATCAGGTAGGGGCTCCGCCCCCGCCGTGACGTCACCGAGCCGTTCAAACGGCAGCGGCGCGAAGGGTGGCGGGGGCCGTGAGGGGGAGGGGCTCGTGAGGGGAGGGGGCGTGAGATTTCTTCGTTGGAGAATTCCACAAATTAAAGGAAATATGGAGACATTATTTATTCACCTAACAGTCTAGAAACAAGCAGAACACTTCAGAGAGGCTTATTTTCTAAGTATAAATTCTAGCCTGCATGTTTTTGTGCAATCTCTGCTCCCCGAGATTCAGTTTGAGCAATGATGTGGTCATGATCTCCTTGGCACACTTCTACTTTTTGTGAGTATTTCTTTGGGCTCATTCCAGAACCAGTTAAACAGTTCTTAGTTTCCATATTCTAAAGCTCATCCAAAGGCTCTTCCAGAAAGCAGACCTGAACCTTTGTCACTGAGGGCCCACACAGACGCTCAGAAGGACATCATGTTGTGATATATACTTACGATTTCATTGTTTAGTATGTGAGGAATACATATTTTTCTTTATTTGTAGAAACCAGAAACCTGGCCCTCTTAATGGAGCAACACATTTTAAAGGATATTTTTTTCTCTTTGTGTTTCTAGGAATAACAGAGATTAATTACAATTTTTATTGACTTGTGTTTTATAGATGTTTGTCTTAAACTGCTTTTTAAAAAACTAAACACTGATTTTTGTTTTATAAATGAAAATTGTCTTTGATATTCTTAAAGATTGCTTCTCAAAGCCTGAAAAAGAAAATCCAGCTTCTGGTCACCAGAAGATGGTGCTGTGTGGTTCAGTTTGAAAAATTCCTATCAGAACAATTTATCTGATTATAATAACCCTTCGTGTCTTAGGAGACTGATATCAGAAGTGCATTTCAGCAATGCTTTTTTTGTTTAGCAGACAATTAATATGGACAGTATTTGTAATGCCTTTACTGTAGAGCTAGCAGTCAGTTCCAAAGTCAGTCTTTGAAACTGGAGTTCTGGGAATTCCTGTCCATGCTCCCAGGAGCTTTTCCCTGTGAGTGTGCCCTAAGAGTATAATCTGACTGGAAACTTTCTTAATGCCTCTGCTAATGAAGCAAAATTATTTAGGAAAAGAGCTGTACGTCCTTCATGCAACTACAGAACTGTTTATTTCAGTTCATACAGGCAGATTTTCTTAATCCAATTTTGAGCAGTTCTGGTTCATGCTGAAAACTTTTAATTAGAAGGGCCAATGAAGCCTTATTGCTTCTGTTCCCCATTAGGTCCTGTGCTAAAGAGTACTAGGTGAGACTACTAAATGTATGCACATAAGAAAAATACAAGTGGTCTGCTTTTCTCATATGAATGATAACAAAAAAAAACAACAAAAACAAACAAACAAAACAAAAAACACACAAAAAACCAAAAAACCAACCAACCAACCAAAAAAACAGAGAAGCAGAAGAGAAATAATACCTGTGCTCTGAAAATCTGTTACTTGGACCTTGGTTGTAAGGTTTGCTTGCACAGGCAGAGCTGTGCTATGATACCTGATGCAGTAGTAAGGGTCCATCAAAGGGAAGTGGTAAGGAGAGTGAAAGTTTCCGATTTAGTAATTATTGTTGAGAAATGTGAATAATTACTATCAGTAGAATGGAAAAAATAAATCACAGTTTTTATACGCGAGATCGGCTCCACTGAGCTGCAGCAGAACAGCCTGTCCTGTATGTGCAGCTCTCTGCTCATTTTTGCTTTCTTCGGTAGGTGGGACAGGGAAGTAAAGTAAGTGCATAATGTTTTCTTATGACTTGCAGAAGTCTGTCAATACATCTCAGGGAGTTTGGCAGAAATAATGTATCATGGTTGATTAGCAGTGATGAGAGACATGCATATGAACACTAATTCCTCTGGAGAGAGAGAATGAAGGGCTTACTTGCCTCTTTAGTCTCTCTGAGTTCCCATACAGGCCTCTGTGGGTCCTGCAGAGGGGTTAATTAGACTAACCTGGCAGAGGCAACTACATCTGCAGTTTCTAACTAGAAAGAGTACCACGGCAAAAGTCATCTTTACGACACTCAAAGAACTTTTTCTGGAATTGTCTGCGTTCCATTGCCTCTATAGCATAGCATGTATGCTAATCCCGTGCTTTCATTCAGAGCCCACATAAACAGCACAGAATAGCATTCTGGTTGTATCATTTTCGTACACCAAGGAAATATGTTGCAGGTTTTTTTAACCATAGCACTTCAACTAAAGCATTTCAATAGGTGCTTCACTGAAATTCTAGGTGCAGAACACCTGTGACAATAATAACTTCAGCCAAGTATTCCATATAGTTGAACTTATATCTGTTCATATGTAGCAACTCTAGTATTTCATGGTATTTCAGTGATCTCCAGGAGAACATGCTTCCTGCCCAACACGTATGCAGTGTGCATATATACATAATTGCATATCTGCATATTATATTTTGTATTCTAGTTTCCTTTTAAATATTTTTCAACTGCATATGCATTGAAATTGCTAGTTCGCGTTTTGGCAGAGGATTGGAATAACTGTGAAAACACCTGGTAAAACTGGTAGGAAACTCCTTTGCAGTTGATACGCAGCTGTGTCTTTCACTACTGAGAGAAAGTGCTGGGCCTGGCTCATCATTCTTTCAGGTATAGTAACACTTCAAGGACTCAGTTTCCTCTCTCTGCGGTGAAGTGTGCACAGAGAAATTCCCAGTGGCTGCACAGTGATGAATGGCAGGGTCTTGGCTTGTAATTTTATTAGTGGCAACAGTTCAAGTGAAATTACAGCTATTATGCTCCATTATAAGTACTAAACAATTTACTTCTGCTGAAATTCCAACTGACAGCTCTGCCTGCCAGCATCCATCTTTTGTGTGTGTATGGATATTCAGGAGATCATAGGGGAGAATAAATCACTCTCTGGGCAATTTACTGAGTTGTATGAAAGTGAGAATAAAAGCTTTTCAGCATGAAAAATAAATCCATGTTCTTTTTATGTCAGTTGTGTGGAGATGCTGCTAAAATAACATTTCTGGGTTTTGTTTTTTTTTTTTCAGTGCTGAAAGTTAAGAGTGTACAAAGTATTTGGAACCACTGCTACTGTTTAAAACACCTCTTTCTCTTGTTCTGTTTTCCTGTGGAAATTGGTTTTGTTTAATCTTGCATCTGTCTACCTTTCTAATACCTTTCTGTCAGTCCTTTCCAATGCCGCTACTGGCTGCTGTGAGTGGAGAGCAGGAGTTGCAGATAACCTGGGAATATTGGGAAAACTGCTGAATCTATGGATTAGGATGACTCAAATGAATGCCCCTGATGGAGGAAATTTTGGGGGAATTCAGCCTCTGTACAGTACATTGAAAAGCAGTAGGCTGAAAATTCACTACGTGTTGGCTGTCACACTGGAGCCAGCAGGTGTTGTCTCTGTCCTGGCCCCGTGCACAGAAAATGTGGTGGGTAGGAAGAACTGGAATTACTTCGATAGAAAATTTAAGAGCAAAAGACACAAGTCCATGACAAAGCTTTGGTAGTTCTGCTGTTGATGAAGCACATGGTCAAATGACAAAGTTTCTACGCTCTGCAGTTTGTCTAAGAATTCAAGAAAATCTTGTGGCTTAAGGAAGTTTTATGTTGTCTGGTATAAATCAATATAAATTAGGAAATATATTTGGGATTTAGAAGAACATACAGTGGCCCAGAATGTATAATAGAAGGGGATTTTCTTGCTTAAAGAAATAGACAAAGCACAGCCCCCTAACTATTTCTGCAGTCTGAGGTTTGGCAGTGAAATTATGAAATTGATGCTTGTGTCTCAATTTCCCTTCTCTCTTGTTCTTTTCCTTAAAATAATCTGGCTTTGTGGGTGGGTACCACATTGTATTAAGCATGTGACTAAATTCTGCCATCCCATCTTTTAACTTTGAGTGCTGCATCCACAAAAATGAGGTCAGAATTTGGCCTCAGATGGTATCTTTGCACCATGGGTTTCTGGAATTTATACCACATCCACTAGTCTAGGGGTTTTTTTCCCCAAAGTGGTTCGAGACGCTACTTACATGGTATGTTACATAAATGGAAGGCAAATAGGTTCTCAACCTGAAATTAGCTGTTTGTCAGAGAAGAGTATTTTCTTGGGTAGAGCTCTGCAAAAGCTCAGGATTCTGTCCCAGTTCATTTGTTTATGGGATGCTGATTTAAAAAAAAATATTATTCAAGTCGAATATGGTAAAGTCAAATGAGGGACAGATTTAGCTATATGACTTCCAGTGGATACAGGAATTCTTCAGCTTCCAGTTATATTCTCCAGTAGGTAATGACAGTGGAAAATGTGCAACAGGCAATGTTTGTCACTTTACAGTATCGGCTGATTCTTCATTCTCTGTGGTAACAGTTCTATTGCAGTCAGTGCATAATGTGGATGAGGAATATCCCTTTGTATATTTGGAAGACCTCAGCACAAGTAATATATACAATACAGTAAATAAAACTATCTCTAATAACTTAAATTATTACCATTTAAAGTATTTAAGCATGTGCTTCTCTTCGGTTTTATCAAAGGACTTGTCTCCAAGTGCAGGCAGAAAATTATATATATATGTGTGATATGGAGAATTGATGTTTTTGCTATTTACTGCATACTTGGAATCTCAAATTTTTTTCCTCCCCTAGGGCATGAATATAGTCAAGTAGCAATGCTAAATACTTATGCCTATAAAAATCTGGTTTAATTAAGGCAACTCCTGTTGATATGTTACATAAGGAGGGGTCTTATTTGTTATGTTCCTAAACCATTTTAAACTCTTGTCCCAAAAGAAACTCCTGTCTGATTAGAAGAAAGATGAGGCTTATTTCCCACTTATCTGATGTATCTGCCGCTGCTTTTTTTCTTCTTCTGTTTGCAGAGCTTTACTGTTGCAAATACCAGCTGTTCTAGGCTGAATTCAAACCTACCGAGAACAGCTTTACTTTTTTCTTGTCTTCCTTGGG